TCTACTCTACTCTACTCTACTACTCTACTCTATTCTAATTCTATTCCATTCCATGCCGTGCCATGCCATGCCATCCCATCCCATCCCATATATTCTATTCTATTCTATTCTATTCTATTCTATTCTATTCTATTCTATTCTATTCTATTCTATTCTATTCTATTCTATTCTATTCCATTCTAATTCTATTCTACTCTACTCTACTCTACTACTCTACTCTATTCTAATTCTATTCCATTCCATGCCATGCCATCCCATCCCATCCCATCCCGTATATTCTATTCTATTCTATTCTATTCTATTCTATTCTATTCTATTCTATTCTATTCTATTCTATTCCATTCCATTCCATTCCATTCCATTCCATTCCATTCCATTCCATTCCATTCCATTCCATTCTATTCTATTCTATTCTATTCTATTCTATTCTATTCTATTCTATTCTATTCTATTCCATTCCATCCCATCCCATCCCATCCCATCCCATTCCATATATTCTATTCTATTCTATTCTATTCTATTCTATTCTATTCTATTCTATTCTATTCTATTCTATTCTATTCCATTCCATTCCATTCCATTCCATTCTATTCTATGACATGACACCAAGCTATCAGGAATCGCTAACACCCCAGCAGACAAGCTCAAGATCCGGAAGGATCTCAACTGACTTGAACACCGGGCCCTATCCAAGAAATGCATTTCAGTCAGGAGAAAAATAAGGTTTTACGCTTAGGCAGGAGAAACCGAGTGCAGAGGTATAGAATGGATGGTACCTGGCTCAATCTTAGTAACTGCAAGAGGGATCTTGGAGTCCTAGTGGAAATAACTTAAATGTGAGCCAGCAGTGTGTTCTAGCTGCCAAAGAGGCCAAAACAGTTCTTGGTTGCATTAACAGAAGGATAGAATAAAATCACCTGAAATGTTAATACCATATTATAGTACCGTAGTAAAAACACTCTTGGAATATTTCATCCAGTTTTGGTCACCATGATACAGAAAAAAATATTGAGGCTCTAGAAAGGGTGCCAAGAAGAGCAAAAAGGATGATTAGGATATGGAAAGATAAAACATGTACAGAGCGGTTGCAAGAATTGGGTATGTCTACTTTAATGAAAAGGAGGACTGGGGGTCACACGAGTCTTCCAATATTTGAGAGGTGGCCACAAAGAAGAGGGGGGTCCATCTAATTCTCCAAAGTACCTGAAGGCAAAACAAGAAAAAATGGATAGAGACGTAACCTAGAACCAAGAAAAAAATTTTCCTAACAGTGAGAAGAATTTAATCAGTGGAAGGTCTTCCCTCCAGAAGTTGTGAGCGCTTCAACGCTGAAGGTTTTCAGGAAAAGATTCCAGACCACCAGAGGTGGTATATTCAGCAGGTTCTGACCAGTTCTGGAGAACCGGTAGTGGAAATTTTGGGTAGTTCGGAGAACCGGCAAATCCCACCTCTGACTGGAGATTTTACAGCATCCTTCCCCTGCCACGCCCACCAAGCCACGCCCACAGAACCGGTAGTAAAAAAAAATTAAATCCTACCGCTGCACACAACCATTTGTCTGAAATGGTATAGGGTCTCCTGCTTGACAGGGAGGTTGGACTAGAAGACCTCCAAGGTCCCTTCCAACATTTTTCCAATATTGTTATTCTGTTACTGAATAATGTTTTGTCACTGACAAACTTTACTTGGGACACCAAACATCCATTGGTCTCGTGAACTTTTAATCCCAGGCTTCTATTTTTCTGAAACTGCTCAGAATTTCGCTTAGTAGAAGAAAAGTTAAATGTTTTCCTTACTCCCATTCTTTTTGACCCTGCAGCCCTCAAGCCTGAATTCATGCAGCGACTGAAGGATGAGAAAGTGGATGAGGGCACCACGGTCAGATTTCGTTGTGAGGTGACAGTCCCTAAAGCCGCAGCAGAATGGCGCAAAGATGGTGCAAAAATCCATGCTAGTCCCAAATATGACATCAGACAAGATGGTGGCGTCCGTGATTTGCTCATTCATAACTTGGAACCCCAAGACAGCGGAGAGTATTCGTGCATCGTTGGAGACCAAACCACGTCTGCCACATTATCTGTGCAAGGTATGTGTTTTTTTTAATTTGGATTAGAACTCACAATCTCTTGGTGATTGGCCTAAATTCAGCCAGCCAACTCTCATTGTCTTGGAAGGTAGCTCAAATTTACCTAGCTGGCTTTCACGGATAAAGTGAGACAAAACCCACTCAGTCTCCTGGTGCTTGGCCCAAAGTCAGCCAGCCAGCTTCCATGGCTAAAGTGGGACTAGAACTCCCAATCTCCCAGTTTCTAGGCGGAGGAGGTAATCAGAGAAAAATATAAAAAAATAAAATATGACAGGGATGATAAGATGAAAGAGATGAAATTCATATATATATATGGTTGGTCAATGGATATTTGATGTTTGTGTGTATGTCTATGTGTGTGTATGTATATGTATCTCATCTTCCTAGAAATCAGGAGATTATGTGTGTACACACAGACACAAACACACAGACACATACCACACCACACATCCAACATCCATTGGTCCTGTACAACCAATTTTTCCCAAGATTCCATTCTTCAGAAATAGGTGAGAACTGCCACTTAATGAAAGAATTGTATTTTTTAAAAAAACTTACTTCTATTCTTTTTGACCCTCCAGTCCGGAAGCCTGAATTCACGCAGCGACTGAAGGATGAGAAAGTGGATGAGG